TTTTTTTTTTTTTTTAGGAATTTGAAGTAATTGCCGAAATTATGCTCTTGCAGTCTGCATGTAACAGCTACTGCTTGACACCAGACCCAAAATTCCTCCAGTGGTGGAGTAGACAAGAGCATTTAACTGAGGAGGAGAGGTAGGTTCTCAGTCCAGCTGGCGAAGCAGGCTTTTCTTAGCCCGCACCCCACTGCAGGGAGGTTGTGTCAGCCTTGAGCTGTCCTCTTACAGGAACTTACATGTACTGCTGCTCCAGGTGGGTGGAAGTACCTCCGTCTTCTGCTAACCAACTGTAGAAACCCTGTTAAACATTTAGCAGGGGTTTTTGGAGCCTGGAATTTTTTTTTTGAGATTGAAAATGAGGCTTCTGACTTTGAAATCTGATAGTCTGTTGTGTCTGGGCTGTCTGTATGCCGAGAGGCACGCTCAGAAGCCGATCCTAGGGGAGGTCAAGATGCAGGCACTGAGTGTTGGGCTGGTGGATGCGGGCAGCAGGTAGCCAAGGCAACGCAGAGCTGGCTGAGCGCTCAGCAGATAAACGTCTCCCAGGTGTTTGGGGTGGGTTTTGCAGCCCTGCTGAGCTCTGTGCTACGGTACATGCTGCCAGACCAAAGCAAGGCAATTCATTTTCTGCACTCTAGTATTTCCACTAGGTATCTGAATACCACTCTGCTGCACTAAGAGTCCAAGCATAGATACATACTGCATTGTACTGAGTCATAGTCAAAAAATAAGGTCAGCTTATCCAAGATTCACATGCTAAGTATTTTCTTGACTATTTTTTAAAATAAAATGACGAATGTTATTCAAAAAAGCACTGATTTTAAAAAATATTGTAATATAAGTGAAATATCCCCTTCATCAGGGTAAAGTGTAGAGAGCGCTGTGTTCCTCTTTGTGGGGTTGCAACCTTTGGTGAAGTGGGAATAACTGAAGGCTTCTCAAATATCTTGAATATTACTGCTTTGAGATACATAACTAATCGTCTTGTCTGTCAAAATTAACCCGGTGCCCTCTGTTCTGCAGCTACAACCTTGCACGTGAGATTGAAGCAGCTGCTGACACTGGCACCACATTGCCGAAATCTCGGAAAAGCGTGGTGAAGAGGTTGAGCCTGTGAGTACGATGGGGCAAAGGGTATCTGGTGTGTTAATATGAACCTGAATAAATCAAACAAGCAGTGCTTGTTTTACCAGCTGAAAAACCTGGTTGGGGATGCAGACCACTGCAGTACATTAAGGAGACACCATCAGCTGGAAAGGCAGACTTCTGTCTGAAGCTGTCCTTGCTGCTGCTATTGTTATAAGTAGTCATGAGGATTATTAATGATGAAAGAGATTAGAGACAAAAAAGCCTTCCTAAGGTGTCAGAAAATAGGAATAATTTTAGGGCTGGATTATAAATTCAGTATCTATTGCGTAATAACTTCCCTGAATGCAGAGGCAAAACAGAGTAAATGAGGATAAAGTCTGGCCTGTTATTAGTCTAATTTGCTCACACATGCAAAAATTCCTTGCAGGATTTTAATATGAAAATTAAGGTTAGCAAAAGGGCATTTGATAATAGAAACAATCTGCCCAGCTGCCTTCAGGTTAGAGAAGGAAATTAATCATGGGGACGTGGTTCAATTGAGTTTAATACTGCAAAGATTCAAGCAGGAGGCGGTGGAGAACAGGGGCATGCATCTAAGCAGACACAGGAAAGAACAGACTAGCAGGAATTCATGGAAAGTTGCAGGGAATGAAAGCAGAGATCAAGGGCGGAAGTAAAACTAACTTAAAGGTGAGAAATTTGAACCTGATGTGAGAGGAGATACGAAGGGACTCCCGCATACTAGTGGCATGATCAAGATGAGGTGGGGAGCTGACGAATTTAACAGCACTGTCAGCTCTTAACTGTCCTTTCCTGCTCGGTGCTTGTGGCCAGTTTCCTCAGAACAGGCAGTAGCCATTCACTTCACATCAGCACTACTGCAGGCTAGGGTCTGAAAGAAGAATGAATGGATGTTTTCAGTCTAGAGTTTTGAGTTCTGATATGCAAGGAAAAAAAGTCCAGGCAGCTGTTTGGAAAGTGTTTCAGTTAGTCCATCTGAGTTCCATTTTGCGTAGTCCATCTGGCTATGAGAACGTGAGCTTTGAAGATGACGGTGCCTGAGCTCTCGGTGGCCTGTCATGGGTGTCTCCCTCGGCACGTGCCTAAGCTGTGCGTAAGAACTGTCGCTGCGGAGCACAGGCTTTATTCTCTTGTTTCTGACGGCGTTTCAGTGCTGCAGTATTGTAATTTACTGCATGGAGTTTGTTTGCACTGTGCAGCCTTTGTCTAAAGAATTGTTTCATCTGCACTCTGAATGTATTTTGCAAATTAATACTGTAGAAAAGACTGGCATAATTCACCCCGGCAACAGTGAGTGACACCTCTCTAAATTGTTTTAAATCATTAACTGCATGCTGACAGAGCATCTAATTCACTTGGCTTCTTTACTTTATGTCTTATACAAGTTTGTTTCCTTTGACACTCCTTTAAATTTACTTGACCTGCATTTAGAAATGAGTCTTGGAGAGGGAGAGCCTATAGTTTACACTTTCTCCTGATCTTCTCGTTGTGTACATCTCCATTCAGACTCTTAGAGAGAAGCTGGTATCTGCGGCACCTTTACTGAGGGAAAGTATTTGCAGCGGGGATGAATTGGCCTCTGGCAGACCTTTGCCTGGTGTTTGGCCATGTGTTACCTTTCATGCACTCATGGCGACTGAGCAGGTCTTGTGTCAGTGGGACCCGGGTGTGACAGCAGTGTGCAGGACCGCGTAAGGTGCAGCCAGCTGCCATGCCTCTAACTCGGCCCTCCTCATCCCTTGGGTTGTAAACACATCAGGTTTACAAGCTGTCATTTCCTAGCAAGTGAGGCTGAAAATTCAACAGACCGAAGAGTCTTGTTTGTGGTCCTTGGGCACTAGCTCAGCTTTTGGCCTTGCAGCTGGTGGGTATGCCAGGTCAAGAAGGTATTGTGTTAGGGTGTAACAAACTCTCTTGACAAACCGTATAAATAGCATAGCAGAAATGGAATCAACAGGCCAATCAAGATAGGAAAGCAAAACAATGAAACAATGCATAAGAACTTTGAACCAAGTGACAGCCTTGCTCAGCCCAGCTCTGTTCTGCTTTCACTTACTGGCTTTTATGCTTTCTTTTCTATACTAGACTGTTTTAGGCTCTGAGGTGATGGCCCATAACCAACCCGTCAAAGAACAACCAAAATGTGCTCCAGATGGGGGCTCTGGTGACAGCACAGACTCGGCCAGTGTTTCATCATGCGAGTTTAATCACTCTGAGCCTGAAGACGCCTGCATCGCTCCCGTAGGAACTGCTGATGCGTCTCAGAAAAAGGTACAGTCTGTGCCTTGTTGCCAGAAGAAGGAGCCTAAGAGAGACTGTCGACACTGCCGACAGGGCCTAAACACTTGCCCAAGCCTGCTGGTCTTGTCAAGAGCATTGCTTTTAGAGGAATGAAGAGACTCTAGATACAAATGTGTAAAAATGAAAGCAACCCAGTCAGGATTTTTGCACAGTTCCCTCTGTGTTGCTGAGATACAAGGCAGACTGAAGCTCTCGTTCCCTGAAAACAGATTTTCTTGTGGTGCCCGTTAGTGGAATGGCACGAGGTTCATTTTTCTTTCAGTCCCTCGTTGTGCTTTTTGAGAGGGATGGGGCAGGCTAGCGGGCAGCATTTCTACCTGTGGGAAGTGGGGTGAGGAGCACGTGGCAACGTGACGTTAGCAGTGACACGGACAAGAGGATTTGTGAGCCCCCTCAAACAAAACCAACTGAAATGGGAGATGGGATCAGCTGAAGAGGAATAAGCTCAACAGCTAGACATTTCCTCCTCCAATACCTCAGGTCTGATGAATTATTCTGGTGTTAGCAGCCTGCTGTTGTGTCCATCATTCTCAGTCAGCTGCAGCTGTTAAAGGGAGTTTGACTTCAGCAGCCCTGTGCTCACAAGGAAAGCCCAGCTGCAGCCAAGCTGCGCCTGCAGCCTGGGGAAGATGTTTTCTGGGTGGGAGAGCACGTGTGCATTAGGAACAGCCTAATCCTGCATGAGGATAGGGAGGCACTGCAGAGAGACTTGCATAGATTGGGTCAGTGGGCCAACGTCAACGGGATGGGCTTCAACAAGGCCAAGTGCCAGGTCCTGCACTTGGGCCACAACAACCCTCTGCACAGCTACAGGCTTGGGGAGGTGTGGCTGGAGCTGTCTGGAGGAGAAGGATCTGGGGGTTCTCATTGACAGGCGGCTGAACAGGAGCCAGCAGTGTGCCCAGGTGGCCAAGAAAGCCAGCGGCATCCTGGCTTGTATCGGCAATAGAGTGACCAGCACAAGTAGGGAGGTGATAGTCCCCCTGTACTCTGCACTGGTGAGGCCACACCTGGAGTGTTGTGTCCAGTTTTGGGCACGTCAATACGAGAGAGATCTCGAGGGGCTGGAGCGAGTGCAGAGGAGGGCAACAAAGCCGGGGAAGGGCCTGGGGAACAGATCCTGTGAGGAGTGATTTAAGGAGCTGGGACTGTTTAGTTTGAGGAGGAGAAGGCTGAGGGGAGACCTCATCACTCTCTACAGCTCCCTGAAAGGACATTGTAGAGAGGTTGGTGCTGGTCTCTTCTCACAAAGTGACAGAACAAGAGGGAATGGCTTTAAACTGCAACAGGGGAGGTTCAGAGTGGACGGGAGGAAAAAATTTTTCACAGAAAGAGTGGTCAGAGAGTGGAATAGGCTGCCCAGGGAGGAGGTGGAGTCACCGTTCCTGGATGTTTTTAGGGGTGGTTTAGATGAGATGTTGAGGGATATGGTGTAGGGGAGAACTTGTAGAGTAAGGCTGGTGGTTGGACTCGATGATCCCAAGGGTCTTCTCCAACTGAATGACTCTGTGAACCCTGGGGGAGGCAGGGCAGCTGCAGCTGACCCACGGTTAGGCAGGTAATGTCACAGCTCACCAGCCCTGCGAGTGTCACCTCCCGTGAGCTCCCTGCTGCCAAGACAAACACTGTGCCTTGGCTCAGTTTAATTCCAGTGGGGAAGTCGGGGTGCG